TCAAAATGAAATCGGGAAAACTTCCCAAGTATTCGCGAACGCAGTCGGGCCGGGACTCGAAGGGCGCGCAAGATGTCAATTTCCAGGATTGTTAATGCTCCAGCGCGAATTCCCGCGCAAATTCCGCAGGACCATATTTACTTAGAGTTGTAAGAAAGTTACGTTAGTTGGTGAGTCTTGAAATCGGAATCACACTGCTTTCAGCTCTTCATTGGACCCTCATGGAGGGGAGAGGATGTAGGAGAAGGGGCGGGGAAGAGGGGTTTGCTGTTCGATACTTATCCCTCCTGAAAGGCATCCGTGGACTGAAAAACTTACGAAAGTGTAACTCGGAAAAATACATTTATGAAATCTGTGGAAAACTTGCTTCTCTGTTGCCAGCGTGAGCTGATGGACCACTGAACAAGCTGAGCGGTAGCTCCAAGAGCACTGAGGTATTTGCGAACTGACGATCATATAGGAATCAGAGCGAATTTGAATGGGGTTCGAGGGTTTGCGTGTTACCAATCGGACGCATTTCTGCCAAACGGAACTATGTGCATTAAGACATGAGCCCTGAGACCCATGAGAATATGTACATAACAGGGCTCGCGTCTTAATGCACATAGTTTCGTTTGGCATAACACTCCGATACGTGGCATACGTCCGATTTGCCTTCAATTCTCTGGGTCCTACCCTTAAATTAAGGGCCTTAATACAGCATCTTACCAAGAACAATATCCTTACATTCCTCGGGTAAAATTGAGCAGCATGACTTTGGAAATGGGTCATTGAAAGGAATTACAATCGTCTACCACAAGGAAAAATTGAAAATACGAAACGTAATATCTTGGGATGCTGTTTATGACGTGATATGCCGTGGGATTTTCAGATTTTTTAACGCACGTTGGCAAAAAACTCCACCATAGTTTCTTTCAGCATAAATACTTCCAATCCAAAGTATTAACTCCGGATTCCGACGGCGAATCCGACAACATCCTCTCGACGAGGAGTCGAAGAGCGACCGATCGGAAGGAAATCACGTAGCGCGCTTTTTGAATGATTCAAATTACATTGTCTGCT